TGTGTGTGTGTGTGTGTGTGTGTGTGTGTGTGTGTGTGTGTGTGTGTGTGTGCACGTCCCCGCGCCTCTCCGTGTGAGTGTCTTGCGCGTGTGCTTGCCTCGCTGCTTTCGATGCCCTTTGGGAGGACGTCTCTTATCTCGCAGCGGTTATGTGGCGCCTCGTCTGCCAACGCTGTGTAGTTCCTAGAGGAAGTATTGTCGGTGGATTCGAACGATAGGAGTTTCAGAGTCAGCGCTGACAACTTCGCTTTTGAGATCTTCTTGCGGTCAATCGATCCGCTGTCTTACCCGTAGCCGAAGCGACGTTTCTGTGCGGACGTGTCCTACTTCTTCTCTCCCTTTCTCACTCGTACGGCACCGGCCTGGAGATTGTGGAGACACTGCACAGCGGCGCATCCTTCGTCCCCTTGCAAGTGTGTGTTTGTAATCTTTATAGAGGCAGCTCACTCTGACGTCCTCCGCGGCCCAACGTGTCTGCTCTCCGTCGTCCGGATATCTATGGGTCGTCGGCTCTGTCATCGTCAATCCTCAACCGACCTTCCAAGTCCCTGGGAACGAGGTTGGCGGCTATGGAACTCGAGATCGATGGCGATGCTGGTGGTCGTAATGGTAACGATGATCACAAGTATGCCCGCGCAGGTGCTAGCGGCCGTCGGAGCAGATGGTAGCTTGACGGCGGAGAGAGGACGGGGGTCCGTTTTGGGAACGGAGAGTGCACATCACGGCGATGGCATTATGCGAGGAGCGAGAAAGCTTGAGGCAGACTCGTCGCCTGCTTTCTCCATCAGAAACACGACTCTCCTTCAAGCTTCCCGCGTGGTTTTTACCGCTACTGATGCCTCCGCATGTCGTACATCCGATCTTCTATCGTGTTTTAGATGGGTCAGGCGCGTCGTATTCACCTCCGAGACGGGGGTGTTCTACTATTTGCTGGAAGATTCATGGCGGAATAGCAGTTCTTTCGACCTTCATCACGCTCAGTCCGTGCACAAGGGTGATTTGCGCGGCATTGCCAGCGTTGGGGACGCGCAGGCCAACTCCTCCCTTCTCACTCTACGATGGACTACTGACGATCTGAACGGCACTGCTGCAAGTGCTGCCGGAACACAGGGGAGCGAGGAAGCACCTCCTTACTTCGTGGGGTTTGATCTGTCGCGGGACGAGCGGAATCTTGTGATGCCCACGGATCGGGGTCTGGCATTTGTCGACACCATGGATGGCTCCACAACCAGCTACGAGCTCCCCGGCTTCGAGGTCGATTTTGGCGCATTCAATCCTAACCGCACTATTTTCTATGTGGCAAGAGATGGCTGCCTTGATTACTCCGTCATGGATGGCGAGTCGCCAGGCAGCTTTGCCAACGAGTTCAGATCACAAGCATGCCGTGCTTACGGCGAACTCACGCTCAGTCATCAAAGCTTTCTCCAAGATGGGAGCTACATATACGCTAGGGGACAGTCCGTTTATTCTGAGATTATAGGGATTAACGTGGTGAATAGATCTATGGGCCTGATAGCTCAGACCGACGTGGCTAATATGTCCAAGACGCTGCCGGGCGCATGGAGCTTCTCCGACCCGACTCTTGCTGTGACCCAAGATGGCTGTAACTTATTCTTCGCGGCGGATTCGGACACAAATATCGGCCGAATGGCGTTCGATAAACCCAGAGGCAAGATGGTGAAGATGGAGACGGTGGCAGAGTGCATCCTCCCAGGAGGATGCTTGATTCGGACCCTTGTTTTGGATAACGATGACAGCCATTTGTACGTGTCGATCCAGACCGGCCAGCTGTTCGAATTTTCAATCAACAAGCTAGCTCTAGGCCGATGCAGCGGTGCTTTGCCGACACCAGCAGCGCGGACACTCAATACTTCAACCCATCCATCATCGCAATCATCGCCAGCGTCATCACGAGAATCCCCTGCACCGCCATCGTCGCCATCTTCCTCGTCGCCATTGCCAGCGCAACCAAGTGATGCATCTGCACCCGCGGGGTCATCCTCTTCCTCATCGCCATCGTCGTCAGAAACCTCGAGAGAACAGTCCTCCGCGTCATCCCCAATGCAATCACCTGATGCGTCTACGGAATCGTCTCCCTCCTCATTTTTGTCACAACGCTTGACAGACTTATCATCATCATCATCGCCAGCGCCAGTGCTATCAATGGATTCCTCTCCATCTTCATGGTCCTCAGAGCCTCGCACAGAATCGTCATCATCATCACAATTGCCAGCGCGATCAACTGATACATCTTCAGCATCGGAATCATCGTCTTCACTGGGACATGATGGGAGTAGTACACGAGTCAGTAGTAGGTTCGCCGACACAGCCTCAACTTCTTTACCAGCAAATGTCCAAACGCCACCAAGGGAAGGTGTCAGCCTCGGCGTGATGGCTGCCGTGGTTGTGGCAGCATGTCTGGTAGCCGCTATTCTTGGTGGCGCTTTCGTTATCCTCGTTTCTCGTTCTCGAAAATCAGTGCTGGCGGGAACTGGCGGTTCGACCGCGACGTCTTCTGCTCTCGAACGCCCGGTAGCACCGTCTTCTGCTCTCGAACGCCCACTAGCATCGTCTTCTGCTCTTGAACGACCGGTTGAATCGTCTTCTGCTCTCGAACGCCCGATTTAAGTGCCCATCTTGCTTCGCAATTTATTTTATTTTATTTTCCCCGTTTTCTTTCTGTGTGGGTGTAATCTTTGAGTTTGAGCCGTCTGCTGCTCCATGTTTGATTCCCTTCAGCGGCGTTTCTTTCTCTGCTCGTTTGCTGTTGTGGCTTCTTCATCTCTTGGTGAGAACGACAGCTGTAGGTCACAGTTGTCCCTCTTTACATCGCCCCTCTTTTCCCCCCCTTTTTCATCCGAGGGGTCAGGCCTTGACATTATTAAATCAGGATTTGAAGTCGTTATAGTCAATCTGTTTATTAACTGCACCAGAACTCTGCCCACTTCCCTTCTTTCTGTTTTTGGGTCTCTCACAGGTGGCGATGGCTGAGGGTTGAGATGGATTTGCGAGCTCTTTCAAGAAGGATATGTTTTTTTTTTTTGTTTTTTTTTTTTTTTTAAAGGAAGGAAAACCTTTTTCCGTGCAGTGATGTTTTTTTTTCTTTTCTGGGCAGGTTCGTTCATCATTTAGGAATTGCATTATTACTGCGAGAAAGTGCCTTAAACCGGAACGTGCCGGAAGGGCCGAGATAAAGAGCAGAAAACTACTGCTACCGTCCTACGCATGGTAGTGGGGGATGCTCGGAGGATGTTCATATTAAGACTAGACTATAATAGACTGAATTTATTTGAGTCGTAATAAAAGCGCTTTTGTGAATATAGCCATTACGTTAGGTTTCTCTACATTCCTGTCTCCCATGGAAACTGAGAGTCCATTCACTTGCTCGCTATCTTATCTACATTTATGTTTGCCACGGAAGATAAACCTCCTCATGGCCGGTGCATACACTTAAAAAAAACTCTGTATTCATGATATTGAACATCGAATCTGATCATTATTATCGATTTCTTGATTTCTGCTGTCATCCTTACGCATGGTCCATGCTAATCTTCTCTGTGTCGTTCCAATGTTAACGGATGTCCGGAAGGACAATCTGAACACTACTATTTCGTTCAGTTGGGTACAGGCTGGATTTTTTTTGGGAAAATTCCTAGGCTACTAGAGAGGCGCGGGACCACTTGCCCGGCCGAGCAAAAAAAAAAAAAATAAATTTAAACATAAAAAAAAAAAAACACTTTTGATTCTATTTATTTTATATTTTAAATTCGGTAAAGAATTCCCATGTGACCCCCAGGCAAAAGTTGCAGACGTAGTTTTGATTCAGCTAGGAAGAGCTTGCCATAACTGTGGAAGAGAGAAATAGATCTATTTCAAAGATATGAGGGACGCTGGACCTGCTTTCCAGCACAACAGAACCGACACTTTTGGTTTTCTTCTAGATTGACCTCCATCTGGTTCTAGGTTCGCATTCAGATCTGGGGCTAGGTCCCACTTGCACGAATTAAGCGATATTGACCGTAGATAGCCAAGATCAACGGCCAGATTCTCGTAATCCGTGCAAGTGGGACCTTGGCCCTGGCAGGACTAGAGGATCAGGAAGGTCTGATATGCAGAGACATATTAGAAGCCAAGCTGGCTTAGCTGGGTAATGCTCCCAGTAGTTAATTTCCCGGGTAGACTGTGAGGACCCCGGACAGGGCCGGCCTCGATACTTAATCTGTAATGCAAGGAATATGATGAATCTTGCTGGCGGGGGGGGGGGGGGGGGGGAAGTTGTTCACTTTATTATTCTGCATAAGGGCAGCCCGGGCAGCCCGGTTGGTAGCCTAGGAAAAATGAAAACTGTGCCCCTGAAAGGTGGGGTATTTCGTCAGATACCCCAAAAAGGCTTGTGTACGACGAAATGCCCGTATAACAGTCCTAAAACTTTGCGAAATCGCCAACTCGCCAATTGGACCTGCCATCTTGTGCATATACCCCTACCGGGCCTTATGTACCTTCGCCCATATGCCCCTGCATTTCTGCCCGTTCGACCCTTCGCTGAACAATTTGCAAATGCCCCTTCCTGTACCTGCGACCTCGTCCTTCCACTCCTCTACCTCCTCTACCTCCTCTCGCTCTTAGTCATGACCCAGCTCGTCGTTCCGCCCTCCTGCCCCCTCTTGCGCGTCTTCGTGACCCACCTCCTCCTCCTTTCCTTCTTCTTTCGATTTGTTCTCCTCCAATTGTTTTGTCCCTTTTCGGGAAGCATAATGGTTTTATTGCAGGAAATGAATTTTGAAAAACCTCACAATTCAACCCGTAGGGAACCACAAAGGCCATTGCCCAGCTAAGCTGGAAAGCGGCTTCATAGGCCCATTCATTTCATACAAAGGCTTTCCAAAAAATGTAACTTGTCTAAGGCCATACTCATACTGAGAACCCAAATCTGCAAAATTTGCGGATTTGGGAAGGGCAGATTTGAGCTTTTGGGCATGGTTCATGTCACACTGCTGTACCTTTTCAGATGGGACAAGGTCGCGGCTGTCTGGAGAAATGGGATTGGTGGGATTGGTACTTGGCTGGTCACACGGCGCCATCCACAAATTGTGCAAGAGCTTTTCTGAACGAAATTTTGCAACTGTCGGAGAAAATGCAAAAAAACAAATTGGCCATTTACCCTTGCACCGTGGCTTTCCCAGGCTGCTGATAAATGGGCACACCAATAGTACATTTATGACTTTAGCAAATCTGTGTGACCGGCCCTCTACCCTTTTCTGGGGGGATTTGAGATTACAGGTCCCACTGTGAGGGCATACTCACACTGGGACCTATAATCCGAGACCCCCATTTGTCAGCGGCCTGTGTAGCCGCGGGGCAAGAGAATTTACAAAAGCCAAGGGAATTTGCGGTTGGGATTATAGGTCCCAGTGTGGGGGCATACTCAGACTGGGACCTATAATCCCCAATCCCCCATTTGTCAGCGGCCTGTCTAGCCCCGGGGCAAGGGGATTTACACAGGCCAAGGGAAATTCCGGTCATCTCAGATCATTCACAAAAGTTTTTGCACAATTTGTGGATGGCGCCGTGTGGCCAAGTACCAAATTCCCATTTTTCCCGACGGCCGCAACCTTGTCCCATCTGAAAAGGTACAGCAGCGTGACATGAACCATGCGCAAACCTCAAATCACCCCGTCCAGTGTGAGTGTGACAAACTCGGACAGAGTAAGGGCATACTCACACTAGGACCTATAATCCAAAATTCCCCCAAACGACACTCACAGAGAAAGGGCATACTCAGGACATACTCACACGGGGACCTATATTCCCAAAATCCCAAAAAGAAGGGGAAAAGGTAGGTCACACGGATCTACCAAATTTGCAAAAATGTACTATTGCGGTGCCTGGAAGCTGCAGGGCAAGGGATTTTGCGGTCACCTCCAGCAAATACCCTTCTTTTTTTTTCGCATTTTCTTCAGAAGTTGGCAAAAGTTCTTGCACAATTTGTGGATGGCCCCGTGTGACCAGCCAAGTACCAAATCTCCATTTCTCCAGACGGCCGCGACCTTGTCCCATCTGAAAAGGTACAGCAGTGTGACGTGAACCATGCCCAAAACCTCAAATCCGTCCTTCCCAAATCCGCATATTTTGCAGATTTGGGGTCGCAGTGTGAGTACGCCCTCACATTGGGACCTATAATCCCAAATTCCCCCAAACAAGGGTAGAGGACCGGTCACACAGATTTGCCAAAGTCCTAAATGTACCATTCGTGTGCCCAAAGTCCTAAATGTACCATTCGTCTGCCCAAATTCTCAGAAGGGGTGACCATTTGTCAGTGGCCTGCGAAGCCGCGGGGGGAGGAAATTTGCGGTGATCTCTGGGGGTTACCACAAGGGTTACCACAAATTCTCAATCTTTTTCCAGATTACCATACAAAATTGGAGAAAAAATGGAACCCCGTGATATTAGCGGCCTATCAATTGACGAAAAGTTTAAGGAGATAAGGGGAAATGGGCGCACGCGCGAAGCACCAGCAGAGAGGTTCGTATGGACACCCGTTGGTGTGAATCGCCAGCAGTAACGACCCAAAAAAAAAAGGAAAAAAGCAGATTATAAAAAACGAATAATTGCATTTCCCATTTGAGGTATCCATCGTGTGACCGCCTCCCTCCACAAGCACCTCGCAGAGTGCGATGTAGCAACCTTGTCTTTAGCCTGTCGGGAACAGAGTGTGACGGACCAGGGCCGAATTTCCTCAAAAAGGCCGTTCCCATTTTCCCATTTTTTGGGAATTTGGGAACCTAGTGTGAGCCTGCCCTGAAAAGGTACAGCAGTGCCACCGGAACCATGCCCAAAACCTCAAACAGGCCCTTCCCAAATCCGCATATTTTGCGCATTTGGGGTCGCATTGTGAGTATGCGCTGAGCATGCCCTGATTGCATATGGATTTGAACTTGGGTTTGGATTTCAACAGCTCATCGGGTGTACGAACTGAAGACCATAATTTTACAATAAATTTCTTGCTCAGCTGTGGACAGCATTGTGGTCAGATGCATCCTGGTGCAGACATCATTAAGGTCAGATACATTGAGGAAACTGTTAGTGTGAGTGTTCCTTGTGCTAGGAGGCACCTTTGGTCTGTTTCCTTGTTTTCGTAAAGGATTTACGGCTTTACGACGGCCTTGAGGTCTTGCCCCTCACTGCACCACTCACCTATGTCGAAAACGGAAAAATATGGCGTATGGCAGTATGCATATTTCCACGGTCTTCTCATTTTGCAAATTTAGTGAGTGGGGGGGGCCAGGCCCATCATCAACGAAGTCAGAATTATTATTGGCACGGGGCCTCTCTCTCCAAAACCCGGCAAGTGCACGAGAGGTAAAACATATAGCCGTGTATCTCCCAATGTCAGATTCATATATATATATATATATCGTCACAAACAGAACTGCCCGGTAAACAGCAGGCAGAGAGAGAGAAGAGGACAACAAACGAGGGGCTGTGACAAACTGTTTCGTCGGAGTTTCACCGACTCATCAGGAGGCTGAACCCTCAACAGTCTGCAGACTCCCCTCACTGATTACACTGTAAATGATTATCTACCTTAACCAAAATCAAA